TGGATACAAGGTCCCTGGCGCCCGCAACCTCAAAGGACGATGACAACAACAATAAATATTTAATTTCCACCATACGCAATGTTTCATGAAAAAAACAAATTTTGACGGTGCTAAGGAACGACGAATACTTACACACTTTGCATAATATGCACCCGCATATCAAACAGTTTCTTATCACTCAAGTAACACCGAAAACAACTTCACCGCAGTAGTTTCGTTTTTGGAGTCCATAATGAATGATCTACAGAAAAATAAGATTTGCAGGTACGACAGCAACACTGCTCAATATGAAAATCTGCCTCTTGCAATGCGTCAGATATCCAGCAGTTGGGCACAGGGGAGAACTATATTTTTGTTAAATCTAGCTTCTTGCTGCACAGTCTTTGAGCTGGTAAACCGATGCATTTGAAGCTTAGTCATTTTTTATATAAACATGCGAGTTGATCCACAGATTATAATAAACCTTTTTCAACGGGTGTAATGATGAACATGTTCGTCAAGCGAGATAAAATGCATGCAGAAAGAACGGGCTTTGCTCCCATAGAAATCGTCGAAGGTACTCAGCTGAATTGGAGGTTACTAAACGATCTTGACTGAGATTCAACAGTGGCAACAGTTCATTAAGGGAAAAATGATAATTTAACATTAAGTTCTGAAAACCCTCATTTGAACTGAAATCATTACATGAATACACGCCCCTCTGATATTGGGCAGACGATTGCCAGAATGCCGATTCCTCGCTTGATTAGGCAACTAAACGCAAATGCATAGGGTAGCTATACAACGAGTGAAATCTGGTCTTGCAGGGCTTGTGTCATTTAACATACTGCGGCATCACAGATTACAACTTGCTCAGAGCTAAACTATCAAAAAAGATTCTACACTGGCTGCAGCATCAAAAAAACAACTGAAGACCAGTTCATGAGCGCTCCCTCTTAATTACATGTGTTAAACTATATATCCCTTGTTTCCTACAATTAGGTGTTTACTAACCGTTATGACAAATGGTTAGTAGCTAAGTTTTAATCGCGAGCTTTAAACCCGAGACCTGTGACTCTTGAAGGCGTTAACGACGGACCTCGAGACGACTAACCGCGCAACGTAGTAGCAAATGAACAATGGCGAAACAGGATACCAGCAGAACTTGACAGTACAGTTAGCAAAGAGTGTTGGGCGATGCTGGTCGTCACCCCAAAATCAGATCGATGACAATCAATTCCAATTAAAACGACATAATCATTATACATTAGAATACCGGTAAGCATCAGCAGTAAAACTAGGATGATGTTCTGGAGGAAAACTGGAATGAGTAGAAGTGAAAATATGAAAAAATATGCTGATGAAAACGCGCCGTTATGCTGACTGTGCTCCTGCTCTAGGACCGACTACCGTGTATATTCCACAGTGCCTGAAGAACTTTTCCAACCAAATGACGACTCGTAAGAGCATGAATGGTAAGCAGAACGGGACGTAACCTTTGTTAAGTAACAATAAAAACCAACCCTTCCATGATTCCGCCAGTCGCAGGAAACGCTCGGTTGAGCATTTTGTCGAAATATCGAATGGCCAAGACCCACTTCCGATGAATCTCTAGTTAACGAAGAGATAATTTCGAATCTGCTGCCACAACTGAACATTCCATGCACATGCAGTAAGCATGAGGAAATGCGAATGGCTGTTCATCGATGCAGGGAATCAACGGCTAGCGGGCACAGTTGACAGTGTGCAGAGCTGCGGAGGTGAACGTTTGGCCATCTGGCTTTACCAGGTCCTCAGACTATGTGGCAATCGGGGAGTGATACCTGAAGACTGGAAAAAAAAGTGATCATCCAAATGTTTGAACATAAAAGTCACGTACTAACTACCAAGGAATCACCTTGTTACCTGTTCCTGAGAAAGTTTTCGTACGAACAAGCTGAAAGTAAGAAAGTCTCTGCGGACGAACCAGACTGGATTCCGAAGTGGCTATTCTGGCACTGATAACATCTTCGTGCTACGACAAATGGTTGGGCAGTACCGGAAGTTTCAGCTGCATTGATACTTGGCATTCCGGAATTGCAGCGCAGTTTTTTGTTCATTGCATCGCCAACCAATGTGGAGAATCATTGGGTACTAAGGAAAATTTGACAATATAGTGAGACTGGTGTAAGGGCTTTACCAAAGTACAACTTGCTACGTCAAGGACAAAGACGATTTATCAGAGTGATTCAGCATCTCTTACGGCGTTCGTCAATGTGAAGCTTCTTTGTCATTGCAGTTCAACAACGCTGCTGTCAACAGCATGGCGACAGGTGTCGCTATGAGGTTCAAGATGGCCTTACCACCCGGCCAAGAAGTTCCAGTTATCCAGCGGTTTATCTGACCGACTTGCTGTACGTGTACGACATTGCTCCGGTGTCCGACTCAAGCGGTGGCCTAGAAACCAGTAATATCGGTGTGTACAATATGCAAAGACTCTAGACTACAAGACAACCTGCGAAAGACAAAGGTCGTGAGGACACCGACCGTAACGGACGCTGTGAAGATAAAATGTAACGGTACGACGTGGGAAAGTTGACCAGTTCCATTATTTCCGTTCAATTATCGTGAGCGATAGAAGTAGTAACAAAGAAATTAACCAACGCATTGGACTTGCACTAGCAAACTTTGTGGATCTGTATTGAGTATGGAAAAACCGCTCAAATTACCAGTTTTACAACATCGGTCTTTGCCGTTCTCTTGAATGGCCTAAAAATAACTACAGTCCTGAAATGCAAGGAATATCAACTGTAATGCTCCTGGTAACGCTCCTTGCGCAACATTTTCAAACTACAGTGGTATCGTCGAGTAACGAACGATCACATGCTCAGAAATGCGATGCTGAAGAAACTTTCTGACGAAGTTAGAGATCGACGCTTGTCGTGGTTCGATAAAATGGGTTAAACGTTAGAGGCATTCAGGATAACGTTCCTACTATAGGAGTCTATTGCGGCGCACAGAAAGAAAAGAATCCAGTTGAAAACTGGCATAACTTATTAGAAGTTGATCTGTTCCCGACAAAGTGCATACTCTTGTCGAAGCGGCTGGTTAATGTTTTACTTAATCTGAAGAATTTTCTTCCTGCTTTCGGATATTATTCGAATATATCTGGGATAGACGAAGCTGTTAAGTTGCTGCTATCCTGAGCGGATGGCAAAAAGCAACACTAGACAGGCTTGACACGAGATCTTCGATACTACTTGCGAATAGCGCTAGTAGTACGAAGAACTAATGGGTTCGGAACTGTGTGAATTTATGCCCATTGCCTACCACGTCAGCCACTGCCTGAGACTTGCACCAGCTGAGGGTCAGACTGAAATGCCGTAGTAGCAGTCATCAGCGACACCACTATGTAGGACGAGTACATGTAGCTTCGCTCGCTTACCACACACACACGTCCAACATTCATAGACAGCTTAAAAACGATCATAAGGCCAAGTTGGACGACGTGACTCGAGAGAAATCGTACTTGACGAAGTACAACTACTCGTTTCCAACTTGGCCACCGAACACACGTTTGCACGATTATCGATGTAGTATTTTTTTAAGCTGGGTTAGTCGTAGACGAAGTGATGGTAATAGAGTCGGTTGCAATTGCGGACGAACCTGTGACGGTGGTCCAGGTCAACACGGTCATGATGCTCATTCGGGGTTATGTTATGATGAATTTGCGCATTCGTGAAAACCTGTTTAAACATTCATTTCCTCTTCAGTTTTACTTTTTCATAGCCATTCCGAAATGGGGCTATTTCGGTTGGCGCAGTTTCAACGCGGTCATAATGCTGTTTGTGCAGCTGCTTCTGCGTTCACTGCAGACCCGTCAGCTACCTTTGGCTCGGCAAACGTTTCCGTGGTATTGCAGGTGTCGTTGCAGCTTGGAATGACCGTGGCGAAATTCGAATCGTCAAACGGTTCACCGACGTTCGATCCACAATACAGTAGAAAAGTGATGTTCATGTTGTTAGAGCTTCACTCTACGACAGAAGCCCACGGCGAGAAATTGGCTTTTAATGTCGCCATAGACATCATCAGTGCGCCGCTGGTTATAGACGAACTGAAATGTTATGGATGGCAACAGCACGCTCCGAAATCGAATGAAAATTACACACTTGCCATTTTAACAGGAATCACTTCCTGTGCCGGAAATGGAACATCGAAGACCTCAGTTTCGACTAGGTCCAAGAAAATTTCTTACGGAATCATAAAAGTGAGGCAGTACGGAATAAATGTAGACAAAAAGCCACAGGTGATTAAATATAAAGAAGCATTTTCTCAGAAACAAGCAACAAAAGAGAACATAATAGACGGTCGTATGTGAGTGTACCTGAAATTATGCAAACCATGTTGGATACTGGTCGACAAGAGAGTGATGTTGTATGACAATGAAGAGGCGGCAATCAGGTCTCATGAGCGCCACACACAAGTCCATTGAAAATTAGCTTCATCGTTTGCAGTCATGACTTCTGGCAACCAGCTTTTGGATACTTTGATGCGCTTTCTAAAACAGATCACAAAATGCATTCTGCATCATCGCTGCTCGGATTCACTCCACTGATTTCAGTCAGTCGGATTAGGCTTGTGGTGTAATTGGCAGAGCGACGCCGTCTACTCGATCACAGTCGGCGTTTGGCTGACGACTTCGCAATGCAAATTGGACGAGGGTAGTTTTTATCTTATGAAAATGTGCCTTCTATAAACCTGTCAAATGACAATTTGCAACGACACTACCGCAGTAGAAAATATGCCAGAAAGGCCTTGCAACATCGTGGGTTCGTGCCCATCCGCGGCGTCGAAAGAGTTCGGTTTCAAAGGTCGCATCTTGAAGACGCCCTTTCTGCTCAAGGTACAGAGAGACTAAAGTCTTCAACGTAAAGGTGGCCAATCAGTCATGTGTCAGAGGCTTCTACCACTCTTGTCAAAAGCAACTTCGCAATCAAAAGAAAAGCACTTCGTTTTTCCTTCCAATGTTAGTAGCTCAGTGGTTGATCACTGCTAAAAACGCCAACTTTATTGTTGAGGTGGCACTTTCTCGTTGAGGTGCATTATCTGTGCCTGCAGGCTCTCTAGCTGATAACACTTTCATACACGTTACTGACACAATTTCTTCATCTCATGCAAATTTCCTCTTTCTGCAAGAATTTCGATCGCGTGTATTTAGTTCCCGTCTTGGAAACTGCAGTTATGCTTGAAAAGTTTCTAATTTAGGAGGCGATCACTACATAATCATCTGTTCACAGATTGCAGTTTTTCTAGGGGCGATTTTCTAAGGTTAGAAAAGCATTAACAGCGTGTGTTCAACTGCTGTTTGATTTATATGAAGTGTCAGATTTGTCAGAAGTTGTTCCTTGCTGCAATATACGCATTCTTCATTTCATGCGAACCTGTTTTTGATTGACATCCTTGAATGCATTCTCAGTTGAGTTTCAAATCTAATCATTATTTTTGAAGTAAACGACTTTAATACGTTAGTACTTTGGAAGACTTATCTTTTGGACATATGGCTAAGAAAACTGGATCAACGGCCGGTAGATTCCAACAAATGCTTCACGTACTTTGTAAAATTTTTTGAACGGTAGGAAATAAAAACAATTTCGCGGCTGTATATTTTATACGTAATCATCAGTTAGTGTATATTTTTCATGCACAATCTATTATTAATCATATCTTATCAGTAATACAGTCTTCATATATGAAAATACTTCAGCAAAAAGGGGTCAACACTAGAAAAGAGGAAATGTGGAATACATGAAGGCACTAAATCTGTCGCAAATGCTGATAGCACAAGATCAACGAATATCTTGCATTTTATATAGCAGAAACTCTAAACTTTCTTCAAAATTGTAATTGAGATGTGAAAAAGAATATTTCAAACCAGATTTTATTTGAAACAGGGTAAATTTATATTTAACATGCTTATCTGCCAGACTGACATTATTCAAATCTCATCAAAACAGTGAAAATCATTAATAAAAGTGTTTCGAACGAAATCATGAATTGATACAGAGAATATTATGTCAAAATCAAAATCCGTATTTCATGCGACTTTGCTTTCTGGTGTGTCTGTTTTGTGCCCACTGGTTCTGCAGCTGCTCTTCTCGCTCTTTCGCCTAAATCGAGCACAGACATGGATAAGGAAAATGTCCAACGAAACAGCCAAGAAATTTAAACTAACCAAAAATGCCAAATATGTTATTTGGTGTTTCCTCTTTGCCACTCCTCCAGGATTGACTTTCGTGTCCTCCTTTTTTGCTGCGTTTAACATCGCGTCTGGCGCCTTTGGGCCCGTTAGATTGCGAAGCAAGTTTTCCCGCACACCTTCAAGTTGGGTATCGACATTAACGTCAATGATCTGCAAATCATCTGGCACAGTTCGTCCAGTGAACGGATCCGTTTCATGCTTTTTAATCAGTTTCCTCGCCTGCTCGATCGATATGGTTTTTCCGACCTTTTGACCGGCGCCAGGAAAAGACTCTGCCATGGAATCGTGAGAAGAGCAAGCTTCTGGTGGTACTTCGTACACATTAGCATCATCCATAGCGACCGGAAACTCAACTGGAGCAATTGGAATGGATTCCGGACCAACGACCTTAACCAATGATGGCAGCGGAGCCTCCTCTCGTACAGAACCTGTTGAGTGAGAATCGATGGAAAAGAAATTAGCACAAACATAGGGTAGACCGTCTTCTTCAGGCTCGCTATCCTGTTCTCCTTCTAAGTTAACCTTAGACGAATTAGCAGCAGGTAGACGTTCAGTCGAATATGGAAGGTCTGATCGTTCAACAGGCGTTGACTTCACTCTCTTTTTCCCAGAAACAGAAGGTAGCAGCAAACTGTTTGACTTCTGCTTCACATCAGATTTAGGCTCCGGTAAGAGGGACAACAACTGAGAAGAGAAAGCAGACGAAGTCGAAGGTCGCACTACATCAGGTTCTTCGTCAACATCAGGCAATTCGGGTAGGAAGATTTTGACTCTACCACGCTTTTTCGACGCCGGTGGTTCGACACGATGCTTCAGCTCCCACGGTCTTCGGCTTATGTCGGTAACTTTTTCTTCGGTGAAAACCTGTGCAATGGGACGTTCAACAGGAGACGGTAGCTGATCGATGCTAGCTTTCACCGAAGAAGGTCCTTAATCATAAGACATAGAATGAATGAAATGACGACCGAAATGAAATGACAGTCATAATGTGCAAAAGCAACCAAATTCGAATGTACGAGTGTTAAAGGATTTGCTGATTGAAGCGTCATGGAATTTTGTTGCTGTTTACAAAGCTAATAATGCTGCTAGATTGGAGACAAGATACGACTCGTGACAGACCACATATCAAATCGAAGTATGGTGAAAATAGTTTATGACCCTTTAACGGCACAATTCAAGGTTTGCACGAATGCTCAAATCTGGTGCAAAATACAAGACTGTTACATGGTTTGAAGACAGGCGTTAACTTTTAACTGTGAAAACAATGCAGGTCGCATTTGGAATTAAACAAAAGCCATAATGAATTCAACCTACAACAGTTAAATTGGAAGTACATCGAACTCGCGATCTAAGCGTACTGCAGGCTAAAATTCAGGAACAATCACCGGATCATATCACTATTACTATTAATGAACATTATGGACTTTAGTGGTGTACACTGGCTGGCTTTAAAACACTGAATTTTGGGCAATCAGCGTCGAATGGAGATCAAAATCGAATATTAAACTCAAGAAAGCTCTAGAAGATATGTGACAGATCCCAACGGAACAAGATCCTGTTGTTGACTCTTAGAACTTACGATGAAATTCATTACGGGAATGACTTGGAGTCAATAAATGAATTCGATGAACAACTTCAAGTAAAACTCAAAAAAATGGGCATATTTCAAGATGAAGTACCTGCGGCATCGTAATCCACTTCCTCATCATCACTGCTGCCGTATTCGACCAAGGCATTCATTCTAAATAAATAGTAAAAAACGGAACCTTGATGATAAGCAACAAAATAGTCATCCAAAGAAGGTATAATGTAAAGAATACAAAAATCTACAACCAAATGAACTTTATTTGGCGAAACAAGAAACATTAAGACCAAGTTAGCTCCGCCAAAGCAACGTATTGATACTCATCCACGGAAGGGTAACGTTTAAGGCAGCGTCAGTCACTGGATTCGTAACTATCACTTGAACATCGTTCAAACTTCTATAAACGAACGAGTAACCTGTATAACTGCGTAAATTTAAACAAGATATAAACGACTACCTGTTGTGTAGTACAAGGACTATAACACCATCTGTTCTGATGAATGAAGTGCCCTCCAAAGCAAGGTCGGAAGGCATAATTTTAAGGTGAATATTAACTGCACCAGGGGTAATGAATTTGCTAAAAAAGTCTATATAAATAAACACAAAACATCGCGCTGTCTCACCTGAAGTGACCGATCGCGTAAAACATCGGTTGCTTCACGAACTCGTCGGTACCCGTTTTAATTACCGGACTATCGAGATAGTTTTTGGCCCAGTTTGGACCGCCCTGCCAATCCAAAATCAAGTTCCATTCAACCCAACCTGAAACCCAATGGTTCAAATCCTGAAATGCAAGAGTCAACTTAGGGTCTCGGAGCTTTAATATTTAATTTATTAAGGCAGCAGCAAAAACATAAGTTGGTCGATAAAATAATAAATATTCTGTATCTAAGAAAATGCCCTTAAGGAAAGCATAATATTTAAATCATGCCATAAAGTATTAGAAACAGAATTAGCACATCCTCCAAGACTATACGGAAGAAATATGAGCGAAAAACAATAAATTCTACTTTACGGATTGAAAGAGGGCGACTCCAACTTTCATTAAAACAAACAGAACTTTGAAAATATGCCCTATAGCACAAGATAAAACATAGACCTGCATGCGCTCAATTAAGTGTTCTTTTTTAGCAGAGGTCTTGTGATTTGCACATTGCTGAACGAGATAGTTTTTCAAAGAAAATCAGCAAAAACGTATGGGCATAAAAAACCCCTAAATTAAGGCATGTTCGGAATGGAATGTTTTGGAAAAGCCCTGTTGGTGCAGACCGTTGTGTCATCAACGCTCAGCCTTGTGGTCATCGCATTTAAGCTGCATAACTGGAGAGTGGTCAGATGCATTAACTGCGTATTTCAAGCCATGAAGGAGCTAGTTCTCTATGAGTGAATTTCTAACTGCAGTTCTGTTGAGAGTACAGTGCATCATCTCATTACCTCAGCGCGCAGTCTGCGGTCGCGAGATAGAATTTATAATTGGTAAATGGTCTCATTTATCATTAATTTGAATTTACCCTTCATATCAATGTAAAGCTCTCTGCGAGTACAAGATGAAGTGGTTGAAAAACTGTGAATGTGAATGTTTTAATTTTATTTTATATCTCATTGTGGAACCTGCGCAATCACGAGTCGCAGTTTATGTAACTGCACGTGACCATCTTTATCAGCTACTTGATTTAATACTATACGTCATGCATCGCTTGCAAGTGCTGTGAGAATAATAAGAAACTTTCGTCACAAGTATCAGTTTCAAACTTGCCATGTCCGACAATTTGAGACACACAAACCATCAGCCACCTTGAGTTTTCTTAACAAATATGACATACTTCGACAATGGAGGAAGTACTGAGAAACTCTGACGAGCAGCAGGCAACGGATATTACTCCTTCAGCAGAAGAAATCACAGAAAGTTTTGAATGCAACAGGGTTGCTGAAATCGATTAAATCAGCCCCTAAGTGATCAAAGCGTCAGACGAACAAGATATATTTTGGCTTAAAGGCGTCAGTGAAACTGCAGTGACCCCGGGGGAAACACCCATGGACTGGAGAACAGGGGTTGTAGTATCCCTGACTGAGAGGGGAGACTACAGGAAGTGTTGCAAATATTTGGACATTACCATACTGAGCCTATGCATAAGTACTAGAACGGATTTGCTGCAGAATAACTAGTTTCAAAATCCAAGAAAAGCAGTGAAGTTTCATGTGAAGTCGAAACACCTCCTACCAGCTCTTCGCCTAACGCCGGAATATTCAGAAATTACGGGGCAGTTCGCTTATCGGGCCTACATTTCCTCTGATGACATCGAGAAATGCCATGAGCTGCTTCTACGCAACAAGCTGTGGGCGTACCAGGGAACGAGACCGATGGCCAGTTCCTACGTGCCATCCAAGTACAATATGTTGATAGCAGGTTCAGCGTCAGAGTAAACGATCTTCTCAACAATGTAGTAAAGTTAGATGTAAAGTCGAGATTTGCAGCCAAAGCAACTTTCTATGCCCTCCTGCTTTTGTTGACATGGATAGGATAGCCAGGCTCAGCCAGGACAACGACCGTACGGTTGTAGATGTAGAGAAAAAAACTGCCGCTTGCAGATGACTTTCTTTTGTTGGCATCTTTTTCAGCGCTCTCTGGTCTTTGTTGGCATCTTTTGTCAGTATCTGCTGTGACATGCACATTAAAATTGCCCATTAAAATGAGGGATTGCGTAGTCAGAACTTCATACGGAGCACCCTACACTTCCTCAAGGAAGGATTCATAATCTCCCTCTAAATCTGGTCATCGCTTTAGCTTGTTGTAGCTTTAATGGAAAATTACCACTCAGTCACCACGATGAAATAATAAAATTAAAATCACTGATATTCGCACTTTGATAACAGCATCGAATTGTATTCGCAGAGAGCTTTCTAGTCTGATAGGAAATATGAAGGGCATAGTCAATTGTCAGTCATAGGCAAATAGTCATATGTCAGGCAGAGGCAAATAACTGAAAAAGACGACCATCTGCCAATGACATAATTTCAAACTCGTGACCGCGGACTGCACCCTGGCGTACTGACATCGAAAGTCGTTAAAATGAAATTGGATTTAGAAATTCACTAGTTTGACAACGGCGTCTTTCTTTACTCACAGAGAGCTACCCACTGTAATGGGCTGAATCTTGAAGTTGATGCAGCTGACCACTGGCCAGTTATACAGATTCAATGCGGCGACTGCAGGACCGAATGGTAACAACAACTAGCGGTCAGTGGGAAAACGGCGCGCTAAAAAGTCAAAGACTGATACATGGTGACTTATGCGAAATATTTCCAATTAAAATATTTTGCTTACACGATGGCAGGTCATTCAAACGAAGCTCTGTCAAAAAACAATTAATCTATGTTACACTGATTATAAAATGAGCATATTTCTCGGCACGATGCCAACTTCCAAGAACTGGTCCTCGCCGTTCCCAGAACGCAAATCCCTGCGACGCTTCAGATCCAATAATTGGCACGTTCGGAAAAAGATCATGTGTCGCTTCCAGCACTCCTACGGGTGTTATCATGTCCGCATACCAATGGACGGCGATAAACGAGACGAACTTTCTGGCAGCGACATCAAGGAGCACCTGAAAGAAACTGAAATTAAAGATCAACAGTGGTTCAATATTGGAGGCTTCAGCAGAAATTAAGGTATGACCAAAAATTAACAAAAACGATCACATCCGCTGACCTTCCGTTTGGGTCGACAATGGCTCTGATAATATTTCAATACTCCACAACATTAGTTAATAATCCTCTGTTAGTCATGATTTACACGGCAAAGCACCGACCACTGTTCTAGAAGCCTAGAGAACCCTTTAAGCAGACCACTGCTCTTTGGCATTTTAGCACCTGTAGTGCATAGACGCAAAGCAGAACTGCTTTGCTGGGATGAACAAAAATATGTTCGAACAACAACAACCTCATTATATAGGCATATAATACAAAAATAAACCCAGTTATTACGGGTTTACTAGGAAACTGTTTGCTTTCAATACCGTTATTTTTACTGGCAGTTTTCTACCGATCACATCTATCTTACTATCGGTTTTATCCATTTTACAAAACCATTGGAATGATGAACAATATAAATATAAATGTGAATGATAGTTCATTGATAAGTAACTATTCAAAAAGTGATGGTGAAATGCGTCAAGCGCTGACGGCTTTTATTCAGGATAAGTGGTCATGCCATTTGTTCCTGTTCATGACCGCTGTACGCAGTTTAACCGTCGTTTCTACTCATTCGTCATAACAACTGTGTTCATAATGTACAATAAAACTGACCTGACAGAGGCACGAATTTTCGTAAAAAGAGCAGCTTCTTTTTCAGCCCAAATATTGCACAGGTTTCCAAAAACATTAGAGGTGACGGAGATCCTGCTATATAACTCTGTTTGGATAATGCCATCATTAGAAATGATGGAGCCTAGACATAAATCAGTCAACCTCATGAAACGATTTTCATGAATATTCCACCTGTGTCAGCTGTGACAAGATGGGTTACTCATACTGTCTGACCTCTGAGCGTTAAGGAAGAGGTCAGCTTTCGCAACTGCTTTGCATACGGAAGATATCAGGTGAGTGGATCCGCATCCCG